GAGAGAGTGAGAGGAAGGTTATGCTTGGCTTGGGGGATACTGAAGTCCTGGGGAGGACAGGACTCACCTGACTGTCCATCTCTCTGTCATCTTCTGCCTGTCCATCTTTGGTGTCCAGGACTTCTCCTGACATGACAGAAGGTAGGACAGCTCCTGCCCTCCTGAGCCTGGAGCCTTTCACCTGGGCATATGTCTCTCCCTGGGGGTCTTCCTCAGCTGGTCTTTGAAGCAGGGAAGTAGTGAGGGACAGACAGTGTCTCCCTGTTCCCCTGGGTATCTCTGGCCAGTTTTCCACAGCATAGCCAGAGTGACCCATTTAGAAGACAGCATCCCTGATAGGATCTTCTTGGGCTTCCTTCGTACATTTCTGACTTTTTATCATACATTCTGTCTTGGCTGTACCCACACAGTTCATATTCATGAAAACACATTTTTGGGGGCTGGAGAGATGGCTCTGTGGTTAAGAGCATTGACTACTACTGCAGAGGATCGAGGTTTGGTTCCCCGAACCCACAAGGCAACCTACATTCATATGTAACTCTCATTCCAGGGTATATGGCATTCTCTTCTGGCCCCTGGGAGCACCATGCAGGCATGTGTTGCAGAGACAAACATGCTTGTAAAACATCTACACACACAATGCAGAACCCCACATGTTTCTGCCCAGGTCCCTTTAGTTCCTGCCTATAGCTGCTAGTCCCTTAGATGTTTCTGTGGGCTTTCCCTTCCAGGCTGCCCCTCAGAAGACAATAAGATAGATGCCAAGGAGCCAGAAAGGGGACAGGATCGATGAGACACATGATCCCGGGAAACCAGGAGAGAGTGAGGCAGGTTGTTCTTGCAGAAGAGAGGGAAGGGTCAGCTGTGGTTGCTTCTGAGGGCCAAGAGAAGGAGAACAAAAAAGGCTCTCTGGCCTAAAGTGGGCCCTAAGTCTTAGCACTGCAGATAGGGACAGAAAACTCACCCAAATTTCCAGGTTGGCACCATCCTCAAGCTGTGTGTCCTCCACTGAAGCGTCTGTCAGAAGAACAAACAGAATGTCTCCTGACCAGAGTCTAGGGATGACTCTGACCCTTACTTTTCTGTATTGTCCCAGGCGTGGACAGAGAATCAGGGAGTGTTGTGATATCCAGGGTCTATAGTGAGAAGTTCAGACCCAAATAGCAAAGACCCCAGAGCCTCTCCACCACCCCTGCAATGCTGAGTCCTCAGACATCTCCCTCCCCAGGACCCTCTTTATCTCACAAAGGCTTTCTTCCTGGGTGGCAGCAGCTGGATTGGATCTGGAGAGACAAGAAGATGTCAGTAGTCAGTGAGGTGTGTCAGGAAGGTGGGGTCTATGTCTCTGGTCATGAGTTACCTCTTTTCAGAGACTCTGTCTCTGAATACTGGCTCTACAGCTCCTCTAGGAAGTTGCAATTCCGTATCTTTCTGGGCTGTAAGAGAGAGAAGAGTCTCAGCCTCCCCCTCCCCCAGGCATGTACAGGGAAGGAAGGAAGTGGAAGGAAGGAAGGAAGGAAGGAAGGAAGGAAGGAAG